CTGGTAAAAGAAAAACAGAAAAACAACGTATGAATTATTGGCATATAATTGAAAGCAGTTTTCATGAATTATTTTTATACAGCTAAATAGCTAATTCAGCAGTACTACTACAAACACAGTATAAAAAAGTCATTCATTTAAAACACTTAAAATCTATGAAGTAAAAAAGATAACTAAGACTTACTAAGACCATAGCATTTTCATACAGAATCAGAATTTTATGGGTATGATTCAACTGAAAAATACATACTGAATTAGCAGTATGATCTGGAACACATGTAAGCACAGAACATTTAGGTGAAAGTGCAAATCAAAGCATTATTTCAGCCAAAAAGCTGTCTGCTTTGTATTTGGAAGTGCTGTTTCACTGATTTGATACAGAATCCTTTGGAAGTTTTTTATTTTTATTTTTTGATGAAGCAGCCAATCCTACCGGACAAGATATATATTTTGAAAAATACAAAAAAAATCACCTCTGTATATTTAGTATGCTCTGTGTAAGGACAGAGTGTGCTTCAGCAGTGCCTTGCCCCAAATAGTACTAATTAGACATTGTAAGAGAAAATTGTGAATCTGTTAAACCTAGGTTTAACAACCCTGAGTCTATTTTGTAAACAGATCAAAAAAGTCAGAGAAAAGATGCAAGCAAATAAACAAAACACTGCTCTGAGCAACCTTAAAAATACAAAAGCCAAATGAAAATCCCCAGTCTTTGGTTCCAGATTAAGCAGTGTTCCCTTTATTTCCACAAGCAGATGATTGTATACAGTACACAGATTGCCTCTTGTACTGGTCATTCATCATGAATAACAGATATGCAGTAGGAGCTACATATCATGAAAATATTGCTACATTCACCCCAAACTTCAGCAAGGCTGTAATATTTACACAGCAGGTACCAACACATACAAAACCTATCAATTTTCTGGGGAAGAACTCATAAACAGATAAACTTAGGCTTAGAAATACAAATGGTTGAATGCTGTTGAAAAGGGTCCTAATGTCACTACTCTCTCACCATCCCAAGCTTCAAGGAAAAAGCAATCTTGATATATACTTCCCCCCTCATAGATTCCATTCTGGGTAAAAATTACATCCTTAAAAGAGTTCTGACTAATGCTTACTATAAAGAAAAGGCAGCTAAAAATAAGGCTGGAAAAAAAAAAAAAACAAAAAAAAAAAAACCAACAAGATTTACTTTTCAAACCAGACATTTTTATTAAGCACAGATTTCTGTCACTTAGGACAAATTTCACCCTTTGTTGAATTAGATAGAGATGTGAGCTATGTTTAATGTGCATGACTTATTCCAAACATTAGCTTATTTAATCTGTCCAAAAGTCCTTATTTTTTTCCCTCAGCATTGCCAAGAATAGAGGAGCAAGAAAATACCCATTTATCCTCCTCGTTCATTAGAAACAGCAGGTCAAGAAACATAGCTCAATAAACCTTAAGGAAACATATAATTTGTTGCACTCGTTCTCCAGGTCTTACAAATTCTCTACCAGCATTGCATGCAGAGCACAGTGCTAGACTAAGAGCAGAGTGCCCTGGAACCTAACATGTTTCAGGAGAGAAGGAAAACCACGGCTCATTCCGAGTAAAAGGTTCACAAAACAATGCATTTTCTGGGGTTTCAATGCACTAAGCAGCAGACTGCATGAATACCATGCATCCCATTTAATGAATATTTAATAAAGGCATAAAGCGTTCAAGAGCTAATTTATTTGGTATGGATGCTTACTGCAAAGGCATACTAAAACAGCACAAATAACACTGCATAGATTATAAATCTTAAATGCAGCAACCAGAGACATAACTACATGTACAATGTATTCAATGACTCAAACAAAAAGTTGAAGGATGTAATGAATCAACATGCAGTACCATCCACGCATACATATTATACAACAAAAACTACTTCTGTAAAACCAGTTCACATACACAAGCACAGAAATGTATAGCAGTGTAAATATATGCCAGGTACTTTTTTGTTTTTTTAAACCTTCCCAAAGAAGGACTTGAAGAAGCAAGCACTTTCAATATATTGCAAATTGAGAAGAAAAAAATAAGCCAAAGCACTTTAAGTGTTGTGAGGTTGACCATAGCCAGCTGCCAGACATTCACCCAGCTGTTCTCATGTCTCATAGCTCTTCCAATTTATTATTTCACTTCAGTTGAGGGATCAAACTCTACAAATACTCCAGGTAAGCTCCACCTATAGCAAACAACAGTAATTCTCTTGCTCTTCATACTAGTTACTAATCCCACTAGTTATTAATCTCATTCAATTGACACTGCTGATGTAAACAGAAAGGTAAAGCTAGAAGTACAGAAAGGATTCAACAACATTTTGATACATAAGGACTTTGACTTTTGATATCAATACCAACAAAACGAACAATTTTCATTTTTACTCACGAGTCTCACAGCTACTCAAAACGTGACAAACAAAAAATGACAGCATTTGACTAGCACCTCATTAGTCTCATGAGTCTGGCTACTCAACGAGATATTCATCTCATTTTCCAGCAGATGATGTAAATTAAGAGCTATTACAAACTCTTCCACAAGCAGCTGTTACCTGTGAAAACACACTTAGTAGCACTGGAGAAGAATGAACCTGAAAACAACGCAGATCTACCTTCTCCAGGTTCTTACAATTGCTTTCTGCAACTTGGGCAGTGTGGCCAGAGCACTTGCCGGTGAAGACTGAGGCGAAGTCATCATCGAGCACTTCAGCTTACTCTGTATACCTTATAATGAGGTCTCCTGTTTCCTGAGGCCTCCATCCTCTCTTACCATCTTTTTATCACTGACAAAATTCTTCTTGTTCACCTTTATGTCCCTGTTTAGATTTAATTAAAGGGTTTTAGCCTTTCTAATCTGATCCCTGACTGCTCAGATAACTCCTTTGTAGACCTCCCAGGTAACCTGTTCATGCTTTCACACTTTTGACTTTCACCTAAGCCTATTAGCTTGCTTTTTAAGCCTAAGTCCGTCCAGGAGCAACCTCTTGATCCACAGAGGCCTCTTGGCATTCCTGCCTGCTCTACTTTTTCTCAGGACGCACTGCTCCTGGACTTGGAGATGGTTCTAGACTACTAACCAGCTTCGTCAGGCCCTACTTCCCTCGAGGGCTTTTCTCCCATGTCACCTTGCCAAGCAGTTCCCTGAAATGTTCTAAGTCTGCTCTCCTGAAGTCCAGAGTAGCAAGCTTGCTGCATGCTGTCTTCAACACTCAAAGGATTTAGAATTCTACCGTTTTTGATCACTACAGCCAAGGCTGCACTTGAGCTTCACATTACACTCCAGCCCCTCCTTGTTGGTGAAGATAAGGTCCAGCATACCACGTTTTCTCATGAGTTCCTGCACTACTTGGAAAAGGTAGCTATCATCAATGCATTCCAGGAACCTCTTCTGTTTCTGGCACACTGCTGTGTTGTCCCTCCAACAGTTGCCAGGCTGGTTCAAGTCCCCTATGAAGACCATGTTTTGTGAACGTGATCTGCTCCTATATGCTTATATATAGCAAGCCCCATTCACTTTATCTTCCTGATCATATTCTTATAACAAGTACAGCAATATTCCACTTTGGCTAAACTGTACAAAATACAGAAATGTAGGTGATGAGGTATTTATAAGCTATCTGCAATTTTTCCAGGCTCTGAAGTAATGCATTTCTCATGAGAATTTATAACACTTCTCATGATCACTTGGATGGAATACTCGATCATCTTTGCCTTCAATACAGCATTGAGTATGGCATTGGAAAGCATCAGTGATATCTGGAAAGACAGATGTGGCAATGCTGCATCTAGCTATGACAGAGGAAGATAGAAGGAAAAACAGTCACAGGCTTTTGTTTGTTTGTTTCTGTGCAGGCTCTCAAAGACTCAAAAAATTGAAAAAAAAAAAACAAAACCACCAAACAAAAATGCATCAAAAATACAAGAAAAATAATTTGGGCTATGGAGCTTAATTGTGTCTGCTTTAGGCACATATAGCAGGAGCCACACATAAGGCTATGTTTTTCATGTCTATAAGATGCAGGATAGAACAGCTGCAAAGCAATACTGTTAACCATTCAATGACACTGAGATGCTGGGATGTGTTCAGAGATGAGCAACGAAGCTGGTTAAGGGACCAGAAAACAAGACTTAAAAGGAGATGTTGTGGGAACTGGATTTCTTAAGTTTGAGGAGAGACCTCATTGCTCTTTACAGCTATGTGAATGGAGGTTGCAGTGAGGTGGTGTCAGACTCTTTTCTCAGGAAACAAGGCATAGGACAAGAGGAAATTGACTCACTTTTCACCAGCTGAGGCTTTGATTGGATATCAGAAAGAATTTCTACAGGAAAAAAGAGTGGTTAGGCATTGGAAGGGGCTGCCAAGGCAATGGGTAGAGTCACCATCCCTAGAGATATTTAAGAGATGCATGGACGTGGCACTAAGGGCACTAACTTTACTGGTGGACTTGGCAGTCCTCTGTTAGGCAGGACTTGGTGATCTTTCTTCAGTGTTGTTTCTATCCTTAACGATTCTATGATATGTGTATCAATTCTACACCAATCAAGCAGAGGTAGTCTTCTACTTCCAATAGGAAATACAAGTAGAATTGACAGATCCAAGAAAAATTGTTAAAATGTTTGAATGTTTTATGTAAGAAGCAGATACAAAATATCACATGCCATTTCAGCGCTGTTTTTTACTTTAAAACTGAATTAGGAAAAGATGCTATTAGTAATAAATTGTGTGTATTGATGGGTGTTTATTATTTTTTCAAATTATCACTTAATGACACTTAGAGAAACTATTAAAAATTCATGGCAGTCTTTCTAGCCAGCATGAAGTGTTGCACTTCATTTAATGATTAAAATGTAATTACATACATAGAAAAGCACCAGATAATACAAACACCAATAACTGAGTACAACAAGTTTTCATTCTGAATTCTGAGTACTGTAAATTATTATGTATTACTACAGTTAAAATCCCAA